ACAATTAATTCAAGGAAATCTTGCTGACGGCAATTTCTGTCTCTGCTTCTGATGATCAAGCCTTCTTTCTGCCAGTAAAGGTGATCTTCGTTGGAACTGCCTCTTCCTTTGTTTTAAATTGTCCCTTAATTAAACAGAGTCAATGACATGAAAAGGTGAAACGTTTTGTAACTATTTGGAGGGCGACAATCCCTAATGATTCTCATGATAAGCGATGCCCAATTTCCGAAAAATCTCAAGTAGCGTCAAGATGAGGAAGTTTGCATAGGGTCTTAAAATAATTAAGGGTGAGTGTAAGCAGCCCTGAAAATGTACACTGTATTTTTTTTTTTAAACGAGGTTTGAACAGCCGTTTCCGAAAAGTCCCTGCAAAACCATCAGCCGGCTCCAGGTGAGTCTGGAAACAATGTCACTGTGCAACAAAAGAAGATTTACTTTCATGCCTGACTGTTGAATGATAAACAACCTGAACAAAAGAGAGAATTGAAAGGGTATTGAAATACTGTAATTGTACAATATACAATATTGCAAATATTAAGATAGAATCATAGAACTGGGAAGTTGGAAGGCCATCAAGCCCAACCCCCTGCTCGATGCAGGAGTACAAACCAAAGGATATCTGTCAGGTGCTTGTCTACGTTTCTCTTGAATGCCTCCAGTGTTGGAGCGCTCACCCCCTCTCGAGGTAATTGGGTCCATTGTTGTACTGCTCAAACAGTTAGGAAGTTTTTTCTGTCATTCAATCAATGACCATCAGGTGGCACTTGCATAGCCAATAAATTGCTCTACCTTTTTACTACAGTACCTCTAGTGAATTACACTCAGTGGAACTCACTAATTTAGGGCGTGTTTTTTTTCCTTTTCAATTTTGAATCTTTATTGAAGGCACATGGAAACAACAAAATAGTACAGGACATTCATTAGTCATGTATAATCTGATTATAGTAGCTTCACACCATTGTAATCTGCATCAGATTAGAATATGGCACCAAAGATTAACACGCTGGTGGAAAATAAATCTTGTCATTCTCATTAGCATAAAAATATAAAGAAACCGTATGGCTGTTTAAGTAATATGAACTGGTGTGTTAACTTTTCTCCATTCCGTTCCCTTCCAGTTTGTGGCAATTTCCAAATATGCTGCCATAGACAAAAAAAAGATAATCAACTGTTAATAAAATAATTGTTCGTTACTTCCTGAAAATAAGGACAGGAGAGCTAGATCTGGTGACCTTATAATTTTTTTGCCCAGTGATTAATTCTACTTCTGTAAAAACTCTGGACCAGAACAACTGGATTGGAAGGCATGTTCACCACATATGAAAGCACATAACGATACTCCCACAATTCCTCCAACAGTCTTCTTCGTTTATAGAATTTAAACAGAGGGGTGTGAAATACCACCTGTGCAGAAGTAGAATAGAATGCTTTTTAAATTTGGAGGAGACTGAGCTGAGAGGAGCTTTGTTCCACAGAGCCTGCCATTTTACATCATTAACATTTTTACATCACTTTCTCAAACCATTTGGGGATGTACTTTACAGTCATAGGGGAATTCTTTTAGTATTTCGTATATTTTTGAAGTCAGCCCCTGCTAGATATTTTCAGAGGCTAGTAGCAATGTTTCAAATGCAAATATTTCAAATTGTCTAGTGGCCTGTACTTTCACTACCAGAAGAGAAGAAAAATGAACAACCTGTAATACTTGATACCAGGAGGGTGCGATAGTACTTGCTTGATTTAACTGTTCTCCTCCTGATTTAGGGCCAGAACTATTATGCAAATCTCTTAATTGATATAAATCACAGTCTTTCCACAATTTAAATTGAGTCCATTTGTCAATGTCATATGATAAGGGGTGGCTAAGGAAGGGGGTCAATTGGGATGGAATATAAAACAATTTGTTTTGCCAGGCTTTTCAAGTTTTTACTGCAATCCTATGGAATAGATTGGTTAGCAGTGTAACAGAATTAAATTTTATGGGGAGAAATACAAGCCCATTCCATTTTTCCTAATCCTGACATTTTATTTCAAATAGTAGCCATGTTGGAGGTTGGGAGCCAACAAGTATACGAAATATTTATTTTTTTTCTTGGAGGCTACATACTAGACTTTAAAATTTGGGACTCTGAATCCTACATTTTTTTATTTATCGAAATGCACTGTATGAGATACTCTTGATTTCTTGGTGTTATGAATAAAACTCATACATATAGTCTGTCAGTATTTAACAGCCACATCTGATATCCCAGTAGGCAGAACTTGAAAGAGATGACTTAACCTAGGCAGAAATGACATGTTATCTGCTGCTGTGTGACCCAGAAATGACAGATTCAATTTTTGCCATTGTATGAGTTTTTGTCTAACACTATATGAAGCAATGGTTTATAATTTAAGGCATTGTGAAGGTCAGGAGGAAATCAGTGCGCAGTCTCCTCTGGTGAAAGAGGACACCAAAGAGAAAGGAGGCAGTCTGGAGAAAGTCGATGGACAAGAGAGAGTTAAAACAGAAGTTTGTTTGACAGAGGTAGGGAAAGGAAAGGAGGAGGAGCAATGGGTAGAGGTTAGGGAGGAAGGGATAAGAGGGGAGGAGAAGGCACGAAAATTTCAAGTAACAACTGACAAAAAGAGAGAGGAGAGGGAGAAAACAAAGGCACGTGGAGTAAGAGATCTGTTAGCAGATTTCCCAAATCTGAGGGTCAGTGGGCTGTTACCAGATCCAGGGCCCAAGCGAGGAGGCGTGGTGGTGCAAGAAACGACAGAATGGACGGTGGTGGTTTACCCGCGAGGTCAGGGTCCTTGGAGGAAGGTGGTCCGACTGGACGTGACTTTCAACAAACCACCACCGGAGGGAGACTGGGCACGGCCCCCTTGTTGTGGAACTCTCTGTGCAGTGAGAAGTGCCCCCCTCAGGAAGCCTACCGACAAGGAGCGATTTGGTCCGGCTCCCCGGTTTTAAGGAATGAGTATATAGTAAACCAGTATGGGCAGGTGGAAAGAAAGTTGAATGACTGGGACAGTTTGGAGCCCATAGAAGTTGTCATTGATGCACCGCTATTAAGAGTTAATAAAGATAGTTCTGTTTCAAGAGATCAGACTCCTAGTTTTCCTACATACCTTGGCAAACCGCCAAAAAAGGATTATGGACCTTTTGACAGGTATTAACTTTAATCAGTTGAGAGGGAAGCATAACTCCTATGTAATTGAGGAATTGGAGTTTTAGGTCAGATCAATATTGACTGGTAGAGGAAGAATTTTTTTAAAATGTGGGAGAGAACTGTCCAATTTAGATACTATTGTAGCAATGTCATCTGCAAGTAGGTTTATCACACCTGTTTGGCCAAAAAAAATGTACCAGCACAAACCACCGGTTTGGCGTTTGTGCCCATCTCTTAACCATGAGAAGGGCTTAGGTCTTGGCCTGAAAAGATGAAACATTGCTTGCAATGATGTGTCCAAGTAGTGGTGAAGACAACATTTATCACATGAAATATAAGCTGTACCATTGAAAAGGGGGAAAGATGAAACATTGCTTGCAATGATGTGTGATCAGAAGCTGTGGGTAATTTCTGCCAACCTGAGGTATACTTTCCATGTATTGGAAAGCAGTATATAATCTATCCTTGAGTAGCATTCAAGACATGTGGAAAAGTAAGTGTAGTCTTTTCTCATCTGGAGGAAGTTCTCTCCACATATCTATCAAACTGAATTCACCGAAGAGTTGTTGTGATGTGGAGCTTTATTAGTACTACTGTCCAAGGTATTTGTAGTTACATAGACTCTACTGTCAAGTAGAATCTAACCCTTCTTGAAGACAAATAGTGTTTAAGGTTTAAGGGATCTATCAATGTAAGGTTGCCAGTAGATTCCTTTGCAAAGAGGAACCAGCCACTCAGGTCTTTCACAATGGAGAGAAGGCAATCAGTACACCATGTGATTTAGAAGAATCTGTAGCTGAATGACAGGAGTTTAATCTAGTTTGTCCTAAAAGGGGGAGTGAAGTTCCCTTTGTGATGGGTTCCATACATAATTAATAGATCAGGGTCCTTGCGTTTTAAAGTGTTCTGGGTTTACCTTCATTTAATTGAGTTCCCATTCAATTGACATTGTAAGATGCCACTTCAGATCTGGAATCTTAATTTAAAATAGAACCGTTCCTTGAGTTGACCTGAGAACAGCTGTAATTTGGACACCATAGGAAACAATAAGAAGTCCAGGTAGTGGTGAAGGCAACATTTATCACATGAAATATAGCTGTGCCATTGAAAAGGGGAAGGGGGACAATTTGTGGCATACTAACCATGGCCCAAAAATGCCCCTCTAAAATTCATCTGAAGCAGCCCTTTCTGTAGGGAGTTCCAGGGTATTATCCAAAGGGGGGGGGGAAGAGGGCAAAATCTGAGGGAATGTGGGCAAGGAACAGTAAACATTCTTTTTATATATCTCCAGCAACACCAATTAACCCTTTCAAATTGTTATTTGCAAGATACTCAAACAAGAACAGAGTCAGAAATCAGAAGAATTCTAATTAGATGTAATTCTCATTGAATTAACCACTTATTGCCACGTGGGGTGGACGCAGTTGGGTCTGGTTTCCCTTTTTTTTCTTTGCTACTCCACTGGAGATAGCAGCAGTGATCCAAAAGATTCCTTTTCTGACAAGGTAATCTTTCCAAGAGAGATTGTATGCAAGGAGAATCAGTAATCTCATGCCTCAGAGGGTAAATTGAGAATGGTTGTTTTTCCATCTTGA